AATAAAGTCAATCAATCAATTAGATAAATAAACTACATTTAAATGATAGAGTAAATCTAATTTAGAAAATGCATTTAATAATCAGCTTTAATGTGCATGTTTTCAGATTCGTCAGAGGAAAAAAGATCCAGATCCAAAGTGAAGAACGAAGAAGATCTGGGCTTCTGCAGCAGCTCCTAGATTCCAGACTGAATGGAACTTTTTTATTTTAAAACCACATATTAGTTTATTTAAAAGTGTTGGACTGAATTACTTTTTAAAAAAGCGTCTCTCCTTGTCATCATCTGCTGAGTTCAGTCGTTTAACCGTAGCTCAGACACACAGAAGCTCACGGGTGGAGAAACACCAGGAGCCTCCAGCAGCTTCTCTGCTTTTTTCTGGAATAGATGCTGGAGAGAAAGTCGCTGTTTTTTTATTACAATTATCGGTTTCCTGTTGGGCTGCAGTCGTACATTGGCTGCTAAATGATGATGAAAAAGCTCCTTATGTTTTGAGCCTTCAATGATCAATCCCAAATTAAACAGAGGCGGCGACGCCCACCATGCTGGTCATGTGACCACTTCCTGTTGATTGGGCTTTAAATCACCTTCATCTCCTCAGAAACAGAAACGCAGCAGGAACGACAGCCAGAGGGTGAGTTTCCACCTGATGATGATGAGGATGATGATGATGATGATGATGATGATGATGATGATGATGATGAGGATGATGATGATCAGCTGTTAGACTGAATGAAAAGTTTTTTTGTTTTTCATCCTGTATTTCCTGAAAAGACGTTAAATGTTTGTAGTTTCTGGTAGATTTCAAAGAAAACTATTAGATAGAGAATCTTTGTCTTTTCTTCCTCTAAGAAAAATACTTACATTATTTACTTTCTTCATAAACAGTAAAGAAAAAATGGAAAATGAAGCGAAAATAGAAAAAAATTTATGTATTTACAAAAAAAAAAATGGAATATTAAATTATTTATCATAAAATAACTTTTAAAATGACTGATTTTGATCACTTTTGTTTCTGTTTTTCACCTTTATGAATGATTTGTGTTTATTGTCGTGTTTTAGTTCTGGTCAGCTTACATTTAGGTTTTTACTTTACTTTCATTTTGGTTCTTTATTTGACCAAAATGAGAAAATGGAAAACAAACCGTTATCCTCTGGGATCACAGGCGTTATTATTATTACTTATTAATAATTATAACTCTTTTCTTTTATTTCTGCCAAATGGCCTGAAGCGTAAATCAAGGGTTCCCAAAGTGGGGGCCGGACCCCTAGGAAGGTCACGAAACACTGATTTTAGGATGAATGAACTACATCAATGTACCATTAAATAAATAGAGGTAATGTTTATTTATTAGCTTATTTGATATATAATTCAAAACCTAAAAAAATACCATTAAAATGTAAATTACTCAATTATATATTTCAATGCTCATTTATTGATTTAAATTTGCATTTAAGATTAATGAATGAAATAATCAAATGTCCCATTAAAGAACTGAAATGTTAATAATTAAATTTCTCCCTAGATTAATTAAAATACATTTGAGTTATGAGTTAAATATTAATTATAGATTTAAAAAAAAAAAGTGTGATTTAAATAATTAAATGTCCGATTATATAATTTAAAATACATTTAAAATTAAGAATGTAATAATTTTATTTCCCATTAGTAATTAAATCTACATTTAAAATTATAAATGAAGACAAATCTTTAAAATTAATATAAATACTTAATTCTGTGTGCATAGATGAATTTAGACAGAAGTAACGGCAACAAAGATTTCCACAATCGAGCAACTTTTCTCAAAAAAACTAAAATAACTGGTTGTCTTTTCGGTACTTTTCCTTTTTGTTCTCAGCCTGATCATCCTGATCCCATAACTGCTCCATCTGTAGATCATATTTAAGGAACTTTTATTGTTGGTCTCCAGCTTCTCTCCTCCATCGATTTCATAAGGAATCATTTTTTCATCTCTAAAACATTTTCATCTTTTAGCTCCATGAAGTCCTTCCAGGTGGAGAACCGATTCTGACTGTGATCAGATTGTTCAGTCTGAGGTGTTTCTCTAATGAAGCTGGACCTCTGGCTGCTCTCATTCATTCATTGGAAGACATTTTTATTTTTATTTGTTTGCGTCTCTGAAGGCATTGATGCTGTTTTTCTGTTTTATCAAAGCTTTAGTTTCATGCCGTCATTGTTCAGAGGAAATATACGACTAGAATGGCTCAACTTCTCCAGACAGGGAATCTAACTGCTTCCTTTTCCTCCTTTCAGAGCTCCTCGTAGGAAGAGCAAAGGATTGTGGGAGTTGCAGTGCAGATTTTTCTTCTTCTCTTCTCCTCCTCATCCCTGGCAGGATGTTTGGCAGGCTGCTGCTCTGCTGCTGGTCCCTCAGCCTGCTGCGCCTCTCCTGTGCTCTGGTTCATGGTGGCATCCAGCTGGACGACGGCCCGGCGGGGGGCCTCCGCACCGACACCTCCTACCTGTCTGACATCGGTCGGTGACACGTCCATGTCAGCTGACACACCCCAGCTCAGATAGTTAAATAATTTCAAGGGGCAAACTTTTCCCCTCTGTTGGTAACGAGGTTCTGGTCCAGATTTTTTAGAAGGTTCCTCCTCTAGAACTACTGGTGCTAATGGATCCACTGGTTCTCTGCAGGAGTGTTTTAGAGAGAACATCAGAGCAGAAGTTTAAACGTCTCAGGTGACATTTTTCCTTCCTGTGTTCTGCAGATCGAGGCCACGCCCCCAACCCTGTTCAGGAAGCTGTTCTCCTTCCTGTGGAGTCAGAGGAGGACCGGTTCATGATGGAGACGGGTTCCAACAATGAGGTGCAGAACTGACCTCAGCAGCTCTCTGTAGACACCCCCCCCACTGACCCTCCTCTTTGCTTCTCTTGTCCTGCAGGATTCGTCTGCGCTGCAGCTGCAGGGCCGGGCCGCTCGCTCCCCTCGCCGCTGCATCCCTCACCAGCAGTTCTGCCTGGGTTACTCGCTGCCCTGCTGTGACCCCTGTGACACCTGCTACTGCCGGTTCTACAACGCCATCTGCTACTGCCGCCCGGTGGGCCACACCTGCCCACACAGGCGCACCTGAGCACGCCTCCTGAGGGCTGATCTCTGCGGTTCCACCTGCTCCTAGATAATAAACTGAAGATGCGTCCTGGTGAATTGGACACGGTTCCGCCTGAGGATGTGGTGTTAGAAGAAGGGAAGAATAAATGGATTTATTTCTCCTGTAATGATGTGAAAACTGCTCTGATTTGAAATAAATATGTCCTGTGCTTTCGCTCTAATAATGTTATCTTTATTTCTAACTTATTGAGAATTAAATGGGAATCTTTTTATCTAAATTCTGACCCAAAGATGCAGAAGACCAAACAGAGAGACCAGGGAAAAGTTCAAACAGGTTTATTTGGTAATGTGGTGAATCCAGTGCTGCTCTGAACACTGCTCAATGGGAACTGGAAGGTGAGGGGAAGACACTGCGGTTAGTTCAGGCTCAGTGGGAAAATTGAACCTTAGGTTTAGAATTGGAGGAAAAGGTTGCAGACTCACTTCTCCAGGGAAAGGTGTTCTTCATGGAATCCAGACTGTGAGGATTGTAGCAGAGAGTGTCCTGTTTGGTGATGGGCGGACTGGGTTACTCTGCGGTTGTTACCTGGTGAACGGAGAAGCTGACTGCCACTCTGATTTCCTGCGGTACTTGAACGGGCTGCGGTGCAGATGAAACCTTTGCTCGGTGTGAAGCTCAAACGACCTCTTGGGGAAAGTGGGTCCAAACTTCCTGTTTGGAACCCCAGCTCAGTTAGAAGCTCAGTTGATCCTTCCAGAGAGAGAAAAGCACAAAAAAAACCAAGTTGCAAGAAGAACTCCCGCCCAAAAGCAAAAAAAAAAAAAAAAGTAAAAACCAAGGTGAAAAAAAACCAAGTTGAACCAACAAAAACCAACCAAAACAAAAAAACCAAAAACAGCAAAACAAAAACTCAGGTTAGACTCTGCTTAACTAAGCATGGCTGGAGTGCCCAGTATTGGCAAACACTCTGGAGTCGAGGTAGTGGCAGTCAGCAGCTTAAGAACACTCTGCAGGTAATGAGACATTGAGCTGCAGGTGGGAGACCCAATGAGGACGGGGCACCACCTGGTGGAGGAAAAAAGGAAACACAGAAACTGGATTCCTGACATCCCCGCTGACATCTAATTTTCAAGTTTTTACGGCACTAGAGGCTCATTTTTTGGACAGTAGGCTGACAGGAAAGCGTGTTTGAAAGAGGGGCAGAGACATGCAGCAAAGGACCACGGGTCTGATTCGAACCCGGGTCATCCGAGTTAAGGACTAAGGCTTTCATACATGAGTCGTGTGCTTTAACCATCATCTATTTTTAACCAAAACTTTTTAACAATCAAAGATATTCATATTGGTACAAAATATCAACAGAAACCCATCTATGAATCAAAGTAATCTGTAATGAAAAGATAATTACTCAAAAGTAATAATATATATATATATATATATAAATAATTCTTTAGAAAGAAACAAAGCTTTTCATTCTTCTTTATCTTTATGAAGAGTTACCAGAGAAAAAAGTCCAAGTCCTGAATTTACAAGAATTGAGATCCGTGTTTTTCATTTAAGCAGCATTTATAAATCCTTACCAGGGAGAACAGATCCAGTCTTTCTGTTCCGGTCAGACAAAAGATCGCACTAATTGAACTACTTCAGGAGCAAAGAAGACAGAAGGATAATTAAAGTATACAGAACATCTAATGCTGAACAAGAGGAATAGTGTAAAATTATTTTTCTCATCACAGATGTAGATGAAGATTAAGATGAAGAATAATTTACTCAGGGGCCATTTTTAGACAGAAAAATGTTTTTATACCTGCAAGAACAATATAACTACTTTTTAGATTAACTTTTTATTATGAGTTTTCAACTACTGGTTCCTTTGCCATCGGATTAAATGACCTGTGTGTTTCCTGGACGGGGCCGCCTGTGGAGCTGGTTGACAGTTGCCTTTTGTATCTATGCTTCTTTTTCTATGTCTGCTTCTGTCTC